CGTTCCTCGATTTTCAATGGTGACGTCGAATTTTCCGGGATTCGATCGTAATTTTCCAATTAACGTTAATTGCTCGGTCGCGAACGTTCCGCCGTCAACTTTGCAATTTTAATTCGAAAGCGACTATCATTCAGGCGGTTATAAAAATTGCAGATTCAACAACGGCGACCGGCTCTCGCGAAGGAAATGTAATTTATCCGGTCGAATCGCAGGGAATATAAAACATCGAGACACTCCGTATCCATTAATAACAAAGGTACATAGGGGTTGAGCTACGAGCTTCATCCCCGACGTTGATATTAAATATTCATAGGGCGTTCGCCGCGAGAACAATGACTGTCCCCGCCCCAAACCAGAGACAAATTATCAAGCCATTATGGTTGACCATTACGCTGGTTCACCCTCCAAGGGGCACCCTAATTGGTAATTTCATAGGAGCCGCGCCGCGAGGATCGATCGAACGAAAAATTCACCGGCGATCGAACTCTTAATCCAATCACCGATCCCTTACCGCGGGAACTCCGCGGATCGCCGTGAAGGTAGCTGGATTTTAATATTCCCGATAAATCTCTTGCCCGGCTCGCCAACCCCCTGCGAAACTTCCGTATTTCACCGCTGACGAACGGCGTCCATACGACTCGCCATTATTAATTATCATTAATTTAAACGCGGTACGGACGGTAGGGGCGGGTGGTTTGTTCGCGGCGTGGAACCAGACGCGAAAGGGCTCGGTAGGAGGGCGGCGGTGCGGGGGACAGAGGAGAAGGAGGAGCAGAGTCGAACGGCGAAGGGGAGAGAGAAATGGGGAGCGTTCTCTTCCATGCCGTTGGAAACAAACGCGCGCGCGGATGGTGGCCCGAACCGGGGATAAATTACAGAGTCGTTGTCCTGGCCATTGTATTTAACTGCGGCGATGCGTAATTGCTGGAACGCCGTTGCATACACCGGCCGTTGGAGGCCAAGAGCGCTTACCCGGGCCCTGGCCAGGGTGGAGGAAACGAGCTAGAACCGCGCCGGAGACAAGCGGCCGCGAGGGGGTCGAGAGGGTTGGCGAAGGAGGAGGCGAAGGGATGGTGGTAGGGAGTAGCTGCCACCGTGGTCGAGAACCATAGTCATCGGAATGGCCATTAGGGGTCTCGACGTTTCCGCCAGTGGCTCACTAAATTTCACCTTCTTGCTCCTTTCGGGACCACCTTGCGAACCTCCACAATTAATGGGACACTTCTGCTGGCTGTTTATTACAATATCAGCTACCGCGGACCGCACGGCCTCGCGGCCACTTCCGGCGCCGCATGCGGACAAACTGCAAACACGTACGGCACCGAGGAAGTTCGCGGGTCGCTTCTTGCCCACGAATATTCCAAGTTGCTTCCGTACGCTTCGTGAAGTTTGTACTCATCATTGGAAAATGGAAAAGTGAATTTATACTAGCTCTATTGTTCCTTGAAAAGGAATCTTTAATCCTATGTTTCATTACTGTTTCTGTCGCGCGTAGTATTGAACATTCATTAATACAAAATTGAATATCACCAAGAAAATTGTATTTTCATTCTTACAGTCTTTACTTAAGAATTCTCCAGATTTCCTAGTTTCAAAAATTGTTTCCACAGGAAGCTATATTATACAATCAAAATCTCAAATAACAGAGAAGGAGGAAACAATGTGTCTTCATTCTGTGCTTAAATATTCAAGGTACTTATTCGCATCTTTCGATTCTAAGTGCACACGCCCGATGTCTTCAATATGACGCCGTTGGTCCTC